TTCTCCAAGGAGTATTGAAAGCACTTGACTACATCCACCATATGGGCTATGTACATAGGTAAAAATAATAATAATAGCAGTGTTGCTGAAACAAACTTACCTCTGTACCCTGAAGGCCAGTGTCTGTGTGAAGTCAGGACAGCTGTGTTGGCAGGCAGACGTGCTAAGGCTCTGAATTGAGACTGACAGTGTGGGGAGATTTGTCCTGAGTCCTCCAGTCCTGCATTTCTCCTTGCCACAGAAACATTCCTTGGGGGAAGTGCAAAGTGGCTGAACTGAGTCCTGTTGGTGTTTGTGCGTGCAGTTTTGCACAGAATTCAGGATGGCCATTAGGAATCTCTTGATAAGCTTTTAGTCTTTCTATCAGTGCTCGTTAAGGTTGAATCATTTAAAAATCTCTTCCTTACGTTACTGTTTCCACCCTTTAGCATATTTTTCCCTTCCTCTGATATTATCTTTTCATTGTGAAGCTATATTTTAAACACTGAGTGTCCTGGGTTATCAGTGGTCGGTCCTGTGATGGTGTGTACTGTCAGAGTTGGTCAGGCAAATCCTGTATGGCATACTTGTATGCTAGCAGCATTCCTGGGGTGCTGTAAGGAACGTCAACCTTTGGGGACAGAGAACCTGACTGATCTTTATTGTTCTTTTAAGGAGTGTGAAAGCCAGCCATATCCTCATTTCTGTAGATGGGAAGGTGTACCTCTCTGGTCTGAGAAGTAACCTGAGTATGATTAACCATGGGCAGCGCCTCAAAGTCGTTCATGACTTTCCCAAATACAGCATCAAAGTCCTACCTTGGCTCAGCCCTGAAGTCTTGCAGCAGGTGTGTTTAAAAACCAACTACTGCTTATGCTCAGCAATACATCTTATCTCTGCGTAACTTCCTGAGGTTTTAGGGTATGTTCTGGGAAAAGTAAAACCAACAGCCACAGGGTTGCTTTTGCTCATGATGAGCATCTTGACTCTGTACTTTTTACCTTAAAACTACTCACAACAACAGACCAATCCTATATGTGGGTTGTCTAATTTCTGCTGGAATAGTTTCTGTTTGTTCTACACAGCAAATCATGGGCATCGCCTGTCTGCATTGCAGGCCTACAGTTTTTATTTGCCTTGTCTTCTAGAATCTTCAGGGATATGATGCAAAATCTGACATCTACAGCATAGGGATAACAGCTTGTGAGCTGGCAAATGGTCATGTACCATTTAAAGACATGCCTTCCACTCAGGTAAGGTTTAAAGGAACATCTTTCACTCTTTCATCTCAGCATGCAGAACTGCATTTCAGCTCTGGGTTGTGGAGACAGGAGGGTCCCTGAATTCCCCCCTCATTGCTGCTTTTTCTAGAGAACTGCAGTGCTTCTGTATTGAGGCTTTGGTTAGAATGGTAACATCCAAATGCTGAGGACATGAGAAATTTTAATTGACTGCTGAGAATTTTTAATTGTTGTTTGTGTGCGTGTGGGATGTTGATATCCTTCGCTTCCAGATGCTCTTGGAAAAGCTGAATGGAACTGTTCCCTGCCTGCTAGACACCACCACAATTCCTGCTGATGAGCTGACTATGAAAACCTCTCGTTCAAGTGCAAACTATGGGCTGGGTGAGAGCATGGCTGTTAGCAATGTGAGAGCAGCCAACGGAGAGTCAACCCTGCACCCTTATCTCCGGACCTTCTCCAACTGCTTCCATAACTTCGTAGCGCAGTGCCTTCAGCGGAATCCAGACTTCAGGTAAAGCCAGGCCAAAGCTGCTCTTCACGAGCCTGCTACAAGCACAATTTTTGTGCTGAATAAACGATGAGAACCAGTGAAGGTTGTTTGCAGTTTTTCTAAAACCGTGAGGGAGGATGTGCTTTGTGTGGAGAGCAGCACATCAAGTGTGTGCAACAAAAGCAGTGTTAATGTCGTGAGGCTCTTTCCTTGAGAGTTCATAGCCACAGTTTGCAGCCTCTTTTGGGAAGTAGGGTGGGGGTCCTGTCCTGTCCTTCTGCTGCCCCTTGTGCTCATCAGAGCACCCCATCAGCTGCTAAGAGCGTGTTTTCTGCTGGGTTGGTGTGTTGAATCTTCACAGAGTCTGGGTGCCAGAGCTGATGGGTGGGATGGGGTTGTGATGATGCACTGCTGACTGAGCGACGTGGGCATCTTGAATCTTGAAAGGTCAAAGTGCACTGACTCGTTTTCTTCTCTTGTTTTATTTGAACTTCCTTCTGCAGGCCAAGTGCGGGTGCTCTGCTTAATCATCCCTTTTTCAAGCAGGTAAGGAGATCACTTAATGCACAGGTACAGAACAGTGGCTTTTCTGCAGTCATTACCTTACAGTGTCACCAAAGCTGAGGGTGGGAATTTTGAGCTGCTGAATTTTCTGGGACCTGAAATGATTAATTTAGCTTGGTGATTAGCAGCAGTGCAGGTTAGTGAGCCTTGCATTCTCTAGGAAGGTGGCAGGACTGTTCTCTGGGAGCACAATGTGGCTCTTCCAGCAGCTCCCTCTCCTGTAACACTTCAGCTTCTCTTACCCTCAGAATCACACAAGCGTTACAGCAACGACCGTGCGAAGCGCTGTTACAAGATGCAGGTTGTGCATCTCTCAGTGCAGACAGGAGGATGCTTGTCTTACTCGCTGCCTTCCTGTGTGAAGAAGCATTTCAGAGCTGAGCTTTTTTTCCCACGCAGATCAAGCGCCGTGCTTCTGAAGCGCTCCCTGAGCTGCTGCGCCCCGTCACTCCCATCACTAACTTTGAAGGAACTCGGCCCCAGGATCCCAGTGGCATTTTTGGGCTGGTGTCAAACCTGGAGCAGCTGGATGTGGATGACTGGGAATTCTAGAAAAACAGAGACTATATTTGGTTCTGGAGGAGCTTTCTGGACGCTGTAATTTATTGTTCCTGTTCATAAAAGGTGATGAATGTTACACGTAGAAGAGTTTACAGGTCCTTGGGAAGGAACTTCAGCTGCCTGTTTACTTGGAAAGAAGCCTGGAAACAAACGGACAGACCAGAGCTGTGGAGTGTTCTGGTTGGTGCAGTGCCCCATATCCCAGTTCTTTCAGCTGAGCACCAGGAGAACACTGCAATGGATGGAGTGAATCTGTTCAGTTATGGTCTCTTTCCCTGTGTTTCTAAAAACGAGTGGCTTCCTTGTATTGCAGGTGAAGGCTACATGACTCTATTTTTTTTTTTTTTGTAATTTTTTTAAAGGGTGCCTTAGAGTTAAGAAGGGGAGGAAAGCAGTTCTTAGTTTGGGGCATTTTCTTAGTGCTAGTCAGATTTACGTTACAGTGTTGTTACTGGGTAACTGAGGGTGGGAAAGGAGTGCATTCTTAAGCTTGGTCACTTCTTTATGGGGAAAACAAGAAACAGGAGCTGACCTGATGCTGGCCTGGGCACATTCACTGCACTGGGCGTTCCTCTGCAGTCCTGAGCTGTGCTCCAGTTCTGGAGAGAGCTTTTAAGACTCCTCTCAGCTGATGCTGTGTGCTCTGAGCTCCAGGTCGGATGGCATCCCCACCTCTCCTCCCGTGGCTGCCTGGGTCATCAAATTCTAGTGCATGTAATTCTGTGCATGTACCAGCTTTTCTAACCTCCCAGAGCACATCCAGCTCAGCCCTCTGTTAGCATGAAATATTCATACCAGCCTGTTCTCAGTGACTTGGCATGAAGGAAAAGTAATTTTCACACCAACTCCTCTTATTCACACCACCTCTTTGAATGTTATGTACAGAATGATCTTAAGCCCTCTCTTACTATTGCTGTACCATCATCCCTGAATGAATGACAGATTTGAAAAAAATCCTTTGCTTGCTTTTCACACAGCTTCCCTTGATCCCTGGCTGTGGCAGCTCTCCCCCAGCCCACAGCATTTGGTTTTGGAGGTGTGTTTTTAAGGCTTTCACTTTGACCTTTCCAAGGACCGTGGGTGCTGGAGCTCTTTCCATTCTTCAGATGAAGCACTGAGACTCCAATCCTGTATGTGTGGTTGATGGGAGAGTGGTGCTGACAACAGGTCCTTCTTGTGTTTGTAAACTACTTGAACCCAGATAAAGTTTGTTACTCTAGTTTTTTGCCAAAACAAATAAAATATTTCTGAAGTTTGTAAGCCTGCTGTTTCTGCAGAGTGACAGAGGAGTGATGGCAGCAGTGATGCCACAAGCTTTGCAAGCTTATACTCTTCTCAATTCCAGACTTAGGAGATTGCATTTTGCAGTCCAGCCCACTATGAAGTGGGCTGCAAAAATTTGCTTGCAAAAATTCTCATCCCCATTCCACAGGCCTGGCCAGAGATGGTTACTGGTACTTGCAGCAAGGGAAAAATAATAAAGTACCAGTGGCAGCATAAAACCTTGGGGACTGTGTTTGGGATGTGCTGCAGCTGCTGGCTTCCTCCCCGAGGGATGATTCCACATCACCCACTGAAGTTCTAAACCCTGGTTGATGTGACTTTTAGCTCTTGACTTCCAGAAACCAAGAGGCAGCAGAACAGACAGGAGGGAATATGCTCCTCTGAGCTGTAATAAATCACAACTAACTGCAGAAGTCTGGCTTACTTCCCAAACAGCATTTCCAGAGCGACAGATGAACTTGGTGCAAGCAACTAGTTTTCTAGTTTTCATTTCTCTCCCTGCTTTCTGCATTCGACACGATCATATTTTATGGACTTAAATTTTGGGATAGAGATTACTCCTTGTAACTTCAGGATCGTTTTTTATGCTTCCAGAGCTAACTGGCAGGACACAGGCAGGATAATTGCCACAGCAGGGGTAAAATAAATGGCAACACCTTGTCAAAAGTAACTGAACAGAGTTCCACCCCTTCCTCCTCTGGCCCTCGTGTGGTCCCACTGCTGGCACAGAGGACAACTCTCCGCTCCCCCCTTCTGTCCTATACCTTCACAGAGCAGCAAATGAAGGCTGGCACCACTTGTGCCCCCATTTTAACGACCCCTGGTTGGAGGAGCGACCAATGGCTGCAGCTGCTGCCCAAGGGTGCTGTGATCAGTGCTTTGTTCCCATGAAAACTTTATTTGGCTCCATACAAAACAGTGCTCTGCTATTGCGGGTCTTCTCCATGGTCTGAGTGGTCTGACTCCCCCTCCTCTTCCTCCTCCCCTTTGTGTTTTTCCAATTTTGCCATGAGCTCTGAAAAACAGGAAGAGGCACAATGAGACTCCAGGTCTGAGGGATGTCCAACAGCAAAGCTGGCTGTCCAAGACCTGCAAATACAGCTCTCCAAGAACTGAAGCACCTACCAAAAATCACTTGCCTACACAAAGACTAAACCAGGACGTACCACCATATGCTGAGCCCGGGGCTTCAGATGCTACAGCACCAGGCTCTGTCAGTGGATTACTGACCTGCAAACAACGGTATCAGAAAAGCTACTGTCTGCACTCCCAGCACCCTCCTCAGAAATCAGTCTCCCCACGTTCCTCATCTGGGCAAACACAGCTGCTCTTTTTACACCTGTGGAGGCACCCAGGCCCTGATGTGGTGCCTCCAGGCACTGAGAGAAGTTCTGCCTGTGAGCTCCAACTTGCAGCCAGGCCAAAAGCTGTGAGCATACATCAGCAGCCCTCTTTCCCACAGCTGGCTGTTACCTTTTGCTGGGTTGAAGACTCCATTGGTCTGCTTGTCACACACGTAGCAGCGCTGGGATTTGCGATAGTGCTGGAGGGCACAGCTCTCACAGAAGTAATGCCTACATCTGTATGGAGAAACAGATGGCAGTGCCTGTCACCACATACAACTGCTGCATCCAGGAGTCAGAAATAATTGACCACTGAACCCTGAGGGATGCAAAAGCAAGCTGGATGCACAGCTTCCTATGCAGCATCAGCCCTGTGTTCTCTGCCGTACTCACAACAGCTATTTCAGCATTGCTTCACTGCTGCTGAATGTCTGCACGCAGCCATCAGCCAGCTCTCCCAGAGACAGCACGGTACAAGTGCTACAGTGGATGGGCTGTGGTATTCCCTGGAGGAAGCATGGAGGTAGCAGGCACCTGTCAGAACAGCAGCAGTGTGGCTGCTGCAAGGTGATGCCAGCAGGCAGCATCTATGGAAATCTAGAAGGTGCTTGGACAACAAAGGCTTGAGATCCCTCAAGGAGATGCTTGAGATGTAGTTAGGAGACTCCCTGCATTCCCCACCCCCCAGAGAAGCAAACAAGCATGCTCCACCCACCAGCATGTAGGCAATGACAGTGTTTGCAACCACAGCGAATGGCTGACTGACCAGAGGACTCAACCCACCACAGATGTTTGGCTCCCTCACTTACTTGGTGACCACGGGGTTCTTGAAGGAACTTCTGCAGATGAAGCATTTGAAAGGCATATCCTCCTCATCACTGCTCACCTCATAGTTTTCTTCATCTGCACAAGAGAAAGTTAACCAGACTGGATCAAGAGAGGAAGCAGCCAGGCCAGCAGATGCACGGGGCATGAAATATGGAACATGGAGAAAGTACAGCAGGTGGGATTGAATCTCTGCTGGAAACAACAGAATTCTAGCATCTGGGTGTCGCTGATGTCAGTAACATGTGTGGGATTGAGATATAATTAGGTCTAATGAGCCAATGTACTTGTTGCTCACCTCACAGGAGCACATTTTCTGACACCCACTTGCTGCTATAAACAGACAGATCCTCCAATTTTTCACATTTCTTTCCAAAACAGCTGCTATTAAACTCTTCAACTCCAACTCACAGAACATCCCCTTTCCTGGAACTGCAAAGGGGTTCATATGCAACACTCAGCTGCATCCTTGGGCCACAGATATGGATTCTGAGTGAGAAATAGGGATGAGACGAGGCATGAAAGCATTCTAGCTCCTGGGCATCTGTTCTGCAGGAAATGGTTCTATCTACCTCCCCAGCTCCACCCTGCTTGCTGCTGGGATTCATACAGACTGCTATATTCTGTATAGACAGAGCAAATAGTCCTCCCTGGTAGCAGTCAGTGGAAATCTGAAAGCAGCAGATTTGCCCAGCACTGGCAGTGGTTACTGGTGCTAAGGTAATTCCACAGCAGGGAGTTCCATAGCTTTGTGGAATGAGGAATTCCTTCCATCTAATCGACCCATTGCTTGTGCAGTTTGAGACAGCAAAGTCTGTAAGTCACATTCACTCTCCCACATGAGAGAAGGCAGGACCTTGTGGCCTCATGCACCATTAGCTCAGGGAGCAGGAGAGCAGAGGGGCTGTGCTGTACCATTGACTCCATAGCGGCCTTCATCCAGTTCCCGTTCTATCTGCCAGCCGTGTTTGTAGTCTGAGCGGTCGTGGAGGAATTTGCAGCTGTCTGAAAAGCACAAAGGAGGGGGGATGAACAATCTTCCCCCATTGCCCAGCTGTTCACAGGTCACCTCATGCAGGGGCAGCCTGAGATTTGCCAGCACAAGGTGAAACCCGATTGCTTCTCCACACACCTACATTCCAGGGCAGGACCGAGCAGGCCACACAGGATCAACAGGCCACGAGCATCACGCTCTGGATGCCACAGCAAGAGCTCCAGCATTCACCCACGTGGCAAGTGGGATAAGGACCAGGAAATCCCACCCCCACATAACCTCAGGTGAGGAAACACAAACTCTGCCCGTGAATCAGTAACTGTGCATCTTAGTGCCACAAACCTGGGGTCACCCAACTGGGTTGGATCCCTCTGCAGATCAGGTGCAGCACGTGCTCACCTGCAGGCAATGCCCACTCACCTCCAAAGCCGCAGAACCCCGTTTCTTTGTAGTCCTTACAGATGTCTGGCTGATAATCCCACCGCACCGTGGCCCGCAGGTGCTCTGGAGCACGGATGGGTCCTTTTCTGAAAGGGTGGGAGAAGGCTCAGGCCAGCTGTGTCACTGCAGTGGAGAAGGGCCCTGGGGGCCCGGCCAAAACCAGACACCGGACTCATTAGATAGGAACAAATTGGCAAAAACAGCAACATTTCGGCCCCAGAAAAATGCCTTTGGGGACAACGCCTGAAATTCTCCGTGGTTCCCCCCATCCCAGGCTCGTCCCAACCTACCTGACCATTCCTGAAGAGGCATTTCCCATTGATGTGTCTTTGGGCTTCACATACTTCTGGTAGTTGTTAATACCACGGTAAATTTTATCATCTTCTTTTCCTCTCAGTTCCTAGAAAAGAAAAAAGAAAGGCAAGTAAGGGTCAGAAGAGCTTCATGTCACAAACCACCTTTTACCCCTCCAATACCAATCTCCCTTTCTGGCCATGCCTCCCTTAATACCAAGAAATCAATAATGCCAGAAGTTCCCCCATTTACACAGGCAACATTTTGGCCTCTCAAATTAGCAGGGAAGAAAAGACTCAAACTCTTGGCATGCAAAAGGGGATGAGTTAAGCACACACACTCCTCCTGCACAGCGTTAACTCGTGAAGGTGAGGCTGACTGACCTCCTGGATTTTCTGGCTGCGCTCGAAGATGGCCTGGGCATCTTTATCCTTCTCTGTGTCCAGTTCATACACTGCTGTGGCCCCCATGTCTTCTGGGCCAACAGGTTTCTGAAAAGCAAGAACTTGTGACAACAGTAGAAAGAAAGGCTGTACAAGAGAGAAAGCCCCTGGGCTATCAGGTGGGTCAGTGACTGAACAAGTGCTGGGCACGGCCTGCTTCACCCTCCAGCAGTTTCTAACTTCTCTTAGCACCTGCCAGCATGAATCCAGCCTAATGCTTGTGGAAGATAGGATGCTAATTACTGGCTGCTCCCAGGTTTTAGCTTGCAAAGTCAGGACACACTGGTCCCCACTTTATTCCTTCAAGCTTCATCTTGTGTTAGCTGTAAACTGATCTCAGCTCTCCCATGTTCAACGCTTCAGTCATGAAGCGCCCAGCCCACACACACCACGTTTCATCTGAACTTTTAACCCAGCAGCCTGTGCTCAGTTTTAATTCAGTGATTTGGTTTTGGTTCCTCTTGAACACAGTGAACAGACACCTCCTCCTAGGTTTTGTCAGCTGCACAGAAACTGAAGAATAATTACTACCAGCCTCAAATTAAAAACAAATCCAACTTACACACCAAAAGCCTCCACTCCTCCTAAGAACATGCTGCCCTGCCTTGGCTTCCTCATTACAGCATGAGCCTTCATATTGATCTCTAATGTGATAATGAGACCTCAGTCTGACCTTGCATCTTTGACTGAGGATAGCTGGACGCTATTCCCATTTTACAGAGAAAAAAATGGAGACACAGAGAGTAAGGAAGCAAATCTGGGGAGGAATAAAAAGCATCAACACAGTAAATGCTGTTACTTGCTTTTAGTTCTACACAAATCTCGATGAGATTCTTACTGATGGACAGTACAGTGAATTTCACTGGATGAAGAGGAGAGCTTAAGAAAAACCCAATGGGAAGAACATTTTTTCAGCTGTGTCAAAAACATAAAAATAGTGATTTCTCTCCACTTCAACTGTTAACAAGGCCCTCAGGTTTCCCCATCCCTCAATCCTAAGAAAACAGTGACCTCCCTCTAAAGCTTTTACCCTATTACTACTCACAAGAATAAAGATGGGAGTACATTCTATGTTAAGTGAATACCTTATGGAGGAAGGTGCTATAAAACTGAAAATATGGCCCCAGTAATTGAGCAAATCTGATTCTGGTGCTCCTTCTCCCAAACACTTTGTGTGACTCCAGTTGCACCTTGGGGTTTTAATTCCCACTTCTAAGAGGGAAAGACCAACCTTAATTCATAGAATCATAGAATGGCCTGGGTTGAAAAGGACCTCAATGCTCACCTGGTTCCAACCCCCTGCTGTGTGCAGGTCACCAACCAGCAGCCCAGGCTGCCCAGAGCCACATCCAGCCTGGCCTTGAATGCCTGCAGGGATGGGGCATCCACAGCCTCCTTGGGCAACCTGTGCCAGTGCCTCACCACCCTCTGGGGGAAAAACTTCCTTCTAATATCCAACCTAAACCACCCCTGTCTCAGTTTAAAGCCATTCCCCCTTATCCTATCACCATTTACTCTCTTAAACAGCCGTTCCCCTCCTGTTTATATGCTCCACAATGAGGTTTCCCCACAGCCTTCTCTTCTCCAAGCTAAACAATCCCAGTTTCCTCAACCCTTCTTCATAGGAGAGGTGCTCCAGCCCTCTGAATTCCTAGTTGAACTCCTGAGGATGCAGTACATCAGAAGAATAAACCTAGCACAAAAGGCTTGTGTGTTAGGAGGGAAGGGACACACATCTACAGATCAAAACCAAGACGAGCTGACTGCACATCTGCAGAAGCAGATTATTGAGTACGGGATCAGCCAGCCCCCCGACCTCAGCCCGTGCTCAGTCCTTACCGCCGACCTTGTTGATCTGTAAGTGACTCCGATCTCCTTCGATGGATCATCCTCATCGCTGCTGCTCAGCGCGTACGAGGGCCGCTCCTTCGTGCACCTCCTGGTCTGAAGGGCAAACAGACAGACAGACAGCGGCTGTGAGGGACAAACGGGCCCCACGCAGCTCCCGGCCGGCGCAGTGCCCCGCGGGCTCCTCACCTTCTGGATCATTGGGTTGGGAGCCTCCCGCCGCCGCTCCTTCCGCACCACCGTGCTGCCCTCCTCACCGCTGCTCTCTGCGGGGCACAGCGCGGGGCTTAAGGGGCGCCAGGGGGGCCGAACCGCGGGGCAGAGCGGGCAGCGGATCCCCGCGGCTCTGCGGGAGGATAACGAACGGCACCCCGGCACGGAGGCCCGGCCGCCGCAGCGCCCCTCACCCACACGGCCCAGCGGCCCAGGGCCGGGCCTGGCTGACGGGCAGTACGGCCCAGGGCGCCAGCAGGTCTTCCCTCGCCTCCCTCGGGCACCGTAATGGACCGCCTCAGCGCCTACCGCCCCCGGCAGCCCCCACGGCCCTCACCCTGCTCCTGGTCGCTGCTGGGCCGCTTCCGCCGGCCTCTACCCGCCGCCAATCCCCGTTTCTTGAAGACGAAGCTGCACACCGAGCCTTCCTCCGCCATCTTGCGCCGCCGCCGCCGGACAGAACGGCCCTAGAGCGGCTCAGCGCGGCTCAGCGCGCCCTGCTGGCCGGGAGGACTCGGGCCGCGGGGAGAGCGGCGGCTCCTGGGGGCAGGGCGAGGGAGGGCGCCCCCTGCAGGAGGGGAGGGCGCAGAAAGGAGGAGCCGCTCCCCCTGCCGGGGGGCTGCCGGGCTGCCGGGGAACTCGCGTGTCTCCATAGCAACGGCTTGGGGTGCGCGTGCACCAGTGTGTGTGCGTGAGCGCGCCCCCGACGTGCACGCGCGTGGATGCGTTTGCATGTGCACGAGCACTTCAGCATGCATCCGTGAGTGCGCGAGCATGCGTGTGCACATAGCCGAGCGTGCACGCGTGTGGAGCACACAAGCGTCCAGGCGCACGAGCACGTCGGCATGCACGCACCGTGCACTTTCACGGGAGTGCTGGCACACGAGTGTCAGCGTGCACGCATGTTTGCGTGTGCGTGTGTGCGGATGCCGCTCTCCGCAAGCCAGGCGCGCTGCTGCAGCCCGGCCCGGCGAGTTTCCTTCTTCCATTTGCAGCGAAGCCTCTACGCTGCAGGTGCTGCACGGCCACGCAGCGACGGCACCGATACGCCGCACCTCCCCTCCTGGTGAACGCCGCCGCCAGGCAAGGATGCGTTGCACCGAGGTCGATCGCCGCTCTCTGCGCGCGCACGCGGCTAACAGGAGCTCGGGGCCGCGCTCCCGACCCTGCTCCGCTGCCCCCGCTTGCCCAGTGCCGCCCTTCGCCCTCTTCAGGCGAAACCCCGACCCCAACAAAACCCCGACCCCAACAAAACCCCATCCACCATCGCCGCTCCGTTCGCTGAGGGGCGGCCGTGCGGAGCCTGGGGGGATCCGCAGCCCGCTGCCTTCGTGGCCTCGAGCTCAGCACCGCATCCACGGCGGGTGGTGAAGGGTGGGGGGGGCGGGGAGTGGGGGGCGGCGGTGCGGTTTTGGGGCCGGGGGGCCGCCGAGTGAGGGAGAGGCGGCTGCACACAAAGGAGCGGCGCTCGGAGCCGCACCGCGCAAGGAACCAATCGCCGCGGCGGCCGCGCGATAAAAGGGGCTGCGGGGCGGCGGGGGGAGCGCGCACGGAGCGCGCCTGAGCGCGGAAGGGACAGAGGCGACCGACCGACCGACCGACCGACCGACCGACCGACCGACCGACCGACCGACCGACCAAGCGCGGTGAGGGCTGAGTCCTTCTCCTCGGCGGCGGAGCCCGGGGGTATGGTGGGTTTGGGTTTGGGTTTGGGTTTGTCGGGAACAATGGGGGAGGGGAACAAAGCGGGGTGGGAGAGGGGGAGATGGGGAGAAGGCAGGGCTGCAGGTGGGGAGCCCCGAGAGCAGCGCTGCCAGCCAGGGTCATGCAGCAGGTGGGGGTTTTTCCCCCCCGAAAAATGCATGCGTGACCCCACAGAGAGGAACTTTTGCTTCGGGAAGCGGCTCGGTCGAGGGACTGTAGGGTGGGGGAGCATGCGGGGGATGCTGTCTGGGCACTGGGTGCCTTTTGGGGTTGGGATTCTGTTGGGAGGGCAAGGAAGAGGAGAGGGATCTGCACCCGGTGCTGAGTGGGGAAGGGAGTGAATAGGGTCTGTGAGTGCGGTGCTTGGTGGGGGGGGGGTGCAGCATTTTGGGGCTCCCCAGCTGTGCTGAACTCCCTCTTTGTTGTGTGCTGCATCCCGTGCTCGGGGGTGTGGTGGGGTTGGACAGATCCATCTGCTTAAGCTGAGCAGATTGAGCAAAGATAGAAGAAAACCTGTTAGATCCCTGCTCCCCTATACCCCCCCTTCTCCCTCCCGCCTTGGCTGCTGCCTGCTGCCTCTCCATGCTGTGTCTCCCAGCACCCATCCAGCTTTACGTCCCTCCAGCTACAGGTTTTCCATCACCCTCTCAGGAGGCTGTTGCATGACTGTGAGATTTGATCCCAATATGAATGCACCCCCAGCCCTGGCAAAGCCCTGAGCAGCTGGGGACCCCCTCAGGGCTTCACAAAGGGAAGCAGCTCTGCTTTCAGTAGAGAGAAAAGGAATGGATTAAAAAAACCAAACCAAGATGTTGTCACCCAAGAACTACAGCCGGGATCAGCCCCAGGTGGCAGCCCTGTGCTGTAACCATTGGGTAAAGGGAAGATCTGATCCTTATAATCCCTTAGGATCTCTCGGACCAGCTAAGATACCACATAGATGATGTTTTTATTGGTTTTCAACTGGTTTCTGTTGATGGGTTGGGCATCTGTTTTGGTACACTGGAGTTGTGTGGCAGCGTGCTTCAGAAATGGGGCTTTGTGCACCGAAAGCATCACACGAGGGCTCTCCCAGCTGAGCTGCTGCGTATTTAGGGCCAGGGACAACATGCCTGCAGCATTATTAATGCTGATTAAAAAATAATGGCAGGGTAACTGATGTAGTATAGTCTGAAACAGCCTCGGTGCTGCTGTCTTCTCCCCATGGGGTCCCGCAGGAAGCAAACTCCCAGCTGAGCAGTCAGGATCCACTTCAGCACGGGGTGCACAGTGATTGCGTGCATCTTCTTTTCTTTAAGGCTCACAACAAAAGTGCCTTTTTTTGGCCCCCAAAGTCCCATGAGACTTCTCATTAGGGAAGGGAGTTCCATTGGTGGTTTCCTCCTGCAGGTCTGTGAGCCTGCAGGCAGTCCCTTCAGCCCAGCTGCGAGGGGTTTTCCTTTTCCTTTTTGCCCATCCTCAGCTCTTGCAGCCCATTGTCAGGCAGCTGCCTTGTTCCCATCTCTGCCTTTGGCTTTCCACTAAAGTCATCTTTTCATCTGCCATCTGGGAGCGTTGCAGTGCTTACCTAGCTATTAGCAAAGCTCTGGGATGGAAAACGTTAAATCTGGGTGAAGGGATTATTGCAATCATTAAACACACAATATATTTCTCACTCCTCTGGTGTGCCCAAAGCCCACTCCATATGGCCAGCGAGCGGAGGGCACTGCAGGAGAGTGAGCATTTGGGATCAGTGCAGAGGTGACAGAGGAAGAGTGCATCAGCACCGCTGTGTGCTGCCAGGGAAGGGGTCCAAGCAGGATGCAAAGGTCTGAGCCGTCCTCTGGTGTAGGAATGGAGAACCTCTCCTATAGGAACAGATTAAAGGGATTGGCTTCTCGTGGCCAAAAAAGAGGAAGCTGATAGGCCATGAGTACTTTTGGGAGGCAAACTGGGAGCAAAATTCCACAATAAGAGTAAAGGGATGAACATGTTGGTAGGAAACTGGGAGGTGGAGTTTCTGGGTAGGACGTGGGGGAAGTCTTCTAAGACTAAGGAAGAACTGAGAAGGGGGTGGAAGGGGCATAACTGCTATAACTGTGCTCGTGTGTACTGCACTTAATTAGTACCATGCTGCAGAGCTTCCAAGTCTTCCTTCTTACGAAGCATTTGTGCCTGATGCCCAGTCTGAACCTCCCAACCTGTTGTTGCTGCCTGCTCTATCATCTGGCTCTAATGAGAGAGATTTCTCTGCCTGGAAAAGAATCTCCTCTCCCCCACGTAGCAGGGGAGTGCATTCGTCCACTCTCTCCGAACGAGATCGCTGAACCCAGGGAGCAGAGATTCCCTTCATGATGCTTAATGGATGCCATAAAACATGGCTTTAGTCCAAGGGATGGGCTGCTCTGTGCTTCAGTTCCCACTGCTGGAAAACAGATGGATCCCAGCAGCATCCTCAGGGCATGGCTGGACCTGGTGCTCCCAGGGATGAAGGTAGGAGAGCAGAATGGCTGGGCAGGGGCTTCCCTGGCTCGTGTGGGTCCTCCATTGTTGCCCTGACAAAGGCAGCCCTGTTCCTCCCCACAACTATTCCTTGTCAGCATCCCTCAGCATTTCAGCTGCAGATTTCCTGCCCGCTGGCAGCCTTTCAAGAGACGGCACGGAACGTGGATGGAAAGTGGATGAGAGGGGAAGCTGTGCGTGGTGGGGCCGAGTGGGGTCGTGGGGGCTGCGTGAGCGGCCCATCTGGTTCCCTCCAGAGCCCTCTGTCCTGGATTGCAGCAACAAGAACCTGGGTTGGGTCCCAAACACCGGTGTTGGCCTGTAGCCACGCAAGGAGCCCAGATCTGAAGCCAACTTAGAATCATGGAATCATTAAGGCTGGAAAAGACCACTAAGACCATCAGATCCAACTGCCGGCCCATCACCACCATGACCTGAGGTCTGCCAAGGCTGGAGCCCTGACCACCACACTTGCTCTGTTGCCCCCCCCACGGCTGCAGCTTGCTGCCCCTTTTCCTGAGAAGCTGCAGCAGTGCTGGTGGTGTTGTGTTCCTGGCCTGGTGCTGGCCTGTTTGATGCTGATTTGTTTCACAGCATGGGTTGGCCATGGCAGGTGTTTGCACTAAGCCTACATGTGGTCACGGGGACATCAGCAGTACCGAATTTCATGGGGGAGATGCCTGATAGCCCCTCTGAGAAGTGGAAGCCATGCCACGCTGCTGGGGAAAAGGCATCTTCTTGGGATGGAGGGGGGGGGCCTGGATCCTTCTCCCCCTCCCCCCCCCCCCCCCACACACACACTGTGCTTGGTCTTTGGGAAAGCCTCTGGCCATGGCACAGTGATCCCAGCAGTAAACACTGACTTCACAGGGCTGCTAATGGGAACCATATGGCAGAGAGGGGCCTCTCACCCTTTGCAGTCACGCTGCTTTCCTGTGCCGGAAAACCATCATCAGTTTTCAGAGAGGCTCTCAGCCAGCAGTGGGCTGCTTGGGGGCCCAGTGAAATGAGGCTGGTAGGCAGCAAAGGGCAGTGGTGCTGAGCAGGAGAAGGGGACAGTGCTGTGTGTTGGAGGCAGGCCATGGTTATGGGGAGATGCCATCCTCCTGTGAGTCGGGGAATTTCCACAAGGGGCCTCTCCAGATGCTTCCCTGTCCTTACATCTGTCCCCAGGGCCAGGCAGGTGAGAGGCTGTGAGACAAATGTTTTGTGACTGAGCAGCTTCTGGGCTGAATGCTGCCTTCTTCAGCCCAAAGAACTCCTTGGTTAGTGCCAAAAGACAGAGCTGCAGCA